TTTCTGACTTTAAATGGGTTAGCGCACTCATCATGATAATGCTTACACAGGAAGGCAGCGGCGTCCGTTTCGAATCATACAACCCAAAGATCGAGGTGCTTTGTAACCTGCAGGCCATCTACATGTGTGCATCATGGATAAGAACTCGTGTTAGACATTATTCTTTGTATTGTTAGGAGTATAAGGTGCTGCAATACACCTGTCGTGTTATTGGGTATCGGAACAAATTCGAAAAGGAAACGGTTGTAGCTGCAGTATGTATACCCATGTAAACCAAAAAGACTCCCTATTCACCACCTCTTTCCGTAGAAACCCTACAAGTATGGACATGAAGAAAACAAAGAAACAGTCTGTATAAGACCACGTCTAGCACTGGTTTTCCGCAATCTCGGGGTAAAACCAGGCAGCCAGTGCAATGATGATGTAGCTGGCCATGAGCAGTATGCCTTCGAGCCAATCTGCAGATTGTTAGTAAAGTACGCGCATGAGCAGAGCAGGGAGTAAACTTACGTGACTTGCCGTCCTGGATGAGGTAGTTGACGAGCAATACCGAAACGAAGAGCGTGACGATCTGGAAATTGTCGAAGTACAGAGTCATGCAGTCTTTGCCAAGGATCCATCCCAAGATAACGATGAACGGGAAGACGAGAAGAGCAATTTGCATACTGGAGCCGACAGCAACACCGATAGACAGATCCATCTTGTCCTTGATGGCGACAGTGACAGCGGTGGCGTGCTCGGCAGCGTTACCGACGATGGGAAGCAAGATAAGACCGACAAAGGTAGTAGAGATTTTACCGGTATCGGTAAGACCTTCGATACTTTCGACCATAAACTCTGAGCAAAAAGCGACAAGAGTTGTGGAAATTGCGAGAGTGACGAGAGCGCCGAGAACAGAGAGCGAGGGTGTTTCGAACTCCTCTTCTTCATCGTCGTCTTCTGAGCCGTCGGGGTTCTTGAAAAGTGACTTCATGTTGACACCGCCTCCAGAAGCCGCGGCGGTACCGGCACCAATGGCTGCGATGCCGCGTGAAGCATCACCCTCCTCCTTCTTGCCAGACTTGCGCTTAGGGACCTTTTGGCTAGGCTCGTTGTACATAGTAGCGTGAGTCTTTAGCTGGAAGGCAAGGTAGCAAGCGTAGACCAAGAGGAGGATAACAGCCGTGCCGTGTGATAATTCCTGGTTCCTGACAGCATCGGCAGCACCATTGTTCGCGGTGCTGTCATCCTCGGCGATGGTGTTATGGAACACAGTCGGAATAATAAGCGATGCAACACAGAGAGCAAGCAACGATGCCGCCGTCTGTGCAACCGTGACGTTGAAGAACTGTTCCAGGCGGTTGATTCCTCCCAGGAAGAAGGACATGCCCAATACCAATAGCAAATTCGACAACATGCTGCCAATGAGTGAAGTCTTGACGATAGTGATCTCGTCCTTGAGCAAGGCTTGGATGGACACGATCAGTTCGACGGCGTTGCCAAAGGTAGCGTTCAACAGCCCACCAAGAGTCTCGCCAACACGGATGGCCAGCTCTTCCGTCGCATTACTCAGCATGGCTGCGAGCGGGATGATGGCGATGAAGTTGATGACGAAAACCGGGACGGGCTTCAGGTGGGCGTATCTAACAGCAAACCCGATGGGCACGAAGATGAGGAGAACATTGATCCAAGCACCGAAAAGGACGAAGCGGATCTGTTTGCCGACCGGGATCTTCCTCTTGTGAGCCTTCCTCTTGCGTTCCTCTAGCGAAAGTTCGTCGTCTTCCGGATCCTCTGCCTCAACATCTGGTGCATCATGGTCTTTGCGGAAGATGCCCTTGAATTTGGCACGTCGGGTAGGGCCGACGTTGGCCTCTTGGTTGGAAGGCGCAATGGTACTGTCGCCGGAAGCCTTGTGTGCGCCATTCGTTTCGGACATCAGATCCTTCTCCTCCGTTGACTCCGGGATAGTCGTAGACGCGCTTCCGTATGTTGGAGAAGATGTAGATGGTTCGGTGTTGTGGTGGCCGGGCATACCGAACTCGTTGCCTGTTTGCATGCTCTCTAGCCGTCTTTGCTCCTCGATGGCGGGTGTAGCATGGGTTTCCGATCGCGTCCTGTGTACTGCATTCTCTTCGTCTAGGTTAACGTCTCGGGACCGTTGTCGGGCGAATGGGTTGTAGTTCGCCGCGCCATTGCCGCCATGTTGCGACGCGACGCGATGTGCCTGCCTTCGTACGGTGTCTAGATTCATTATTAGATGTGTTCTGGTGTTTGGCAGAAGAAGTTGGGTCGAGGGATAATCGAGACCTATCGCGATCTCGATGCTCGGAAATGTGGATCCACTTACGCATTGATCTACTTTCGCGGCAGCTGTGCCGTCTTCTTGCACTTAGTGGTGGATATACGGTCCAGTTGGGAGTCGTACTGAAGTGCGACCTGCAGCTCGATATGCCAAGTGAGTACTCGGAACGAGTTGCTTGTGATTCGGAACGGGTGGCTGGGGGCCGAAACGGATGGATTGGGGGCGAATAATTGTCTGGACCAACAAGCGCGCGAAGAAATGTGCCAGATGCAACCGGGGAGAAACAGACGCAGGTACGCGTGCAATCTGTATCGGAGATTTGTCGTTGAAGGGTTGCCCTGAGAACAAAGGACCGGTGAGTGAATGGAGAAAGGGAGGAAGGGGCCAAGGGTAATTAAACCTGTGTTGACAGGAGGCCAGCGCACTGACGAGTCGAACACTGACGAGTATAGTTGTGGCTGTTGTGTGAATGCACGAATGAGAAACGCCTCAGCCACAGTTGACGGGGGCAAATAGGAGCTAACGAGATTGTCAAAAGGCTGTGTTCACAGTAGCGCGCGCATGCAAACGCAAATCACTGCGTTCGGAGTCTACGTGATTGCCTCTCGGAAGACAGATGTGCGAAGCTTCACGTCATGACAGTCAAGCCTTGTTACGGAGAACCAAGATTCACTCGAGGCACTTGGCTGGGGGCTTGAGCTAGCATCGGGCGCAGAGGCGGTCTGGGCATGACGACGCGGCTAGACTTGGAAACGCTTAAGTGGTCGACCCTGCATGCCAGCTTGCGCACTAGCAAAGCATCACGATACTCGATCTGGGGAAACTGCTGGTGTTGTCGAAGTTTCCTTGCTTTCCCCCATGGCTGTTTGGCCGGCGTCGCAGGCTGCACCCTGGAGGTTTTACCACGTATGCTGTACACCGTAAGCTCCAGACGCTTGTTTTGCGTCTGCTTGCATCCGAATGCGACGGGAAAACCGCGAATAGTCTTGCTATGCACGGCAAGCATCAAGCTTACCTACATTCGCATGCGGCAATGACAGAGATCTGAAATAACGTCTGCTTACTCATATATCTACATACATACGCGATATGATAGCTCTAGGAGGTGCATCGCATCTGACCTGTTGATCTGCGCGTGCATACGTCCTTGGCCCAGTTGCACGGCTGGAGTGATGATGGCACAATAATGGCGCCATGATGGCGCGCTCACCCTCGAGGGGACACCGCAAACGAGGGAAAATATATCCTGTCGCCTGCTTCAACACGATCGAACGTTTCTTGCTTTTTCTCATATCTGTTGCCCAACTAGGCAAGTTGCGCAACGGCCATGGATGTCGGCGGGCACAAAGCAAAAGAAATGCCGGGGCCGTCCTCACAGCATTGGTGCGCACTCGCCGAAGGCATGCCGCAGCGACGTGGGTGGCGGCACGCCGCAACAACCTGATTCGTGCGCAAAAAATCGAATTCGAGATTGCTCATACACATAGCGCTCTCCTCTTTTGCTATATATCCTATAGAGCAGCAATCTAGTCTTTTACTATCTTAGTATCTCTACTACCTAGTATAGCTACTTTTAGATATCTTTCTAGAGTAGTAGTATTAATAGTAATAGTATTAAGATACTTAGCGTGCACTTATATTTTACTCTTCTTAAATTCTAAATATATCTCTTTAAAGTTAATAAAAGTCTTTTTATTATAAAATTACTAAACTTAAGTAAAGCTTAAGTTTATATAGAAGTTAAAGACTTAATCTAAGAGAGTAAGTAAGTTATTAAGAATAAAGTTAATAACGCTATAAAAGCTTACTAAGCTAATAAAAGTAAGTCTTAATAAAAAAGGCGTACTAGAGTATAAAACTTAGAAATAAAAGTTCTTAGAATTATATAAGATAAAGATATTAGTATTATTAAAAGTATTTATTATATAGTAATAGCTTTAAAAGTAAAAGTTTATTTAGAGAAGTTCTAATATAGTATAAGTAGTAGTAAATATATAAGAAGATATACTAACTTATATATAAGAATATATAGCATTTTTACTTTATAACTTACTTTATAACTTATTTTAATAGTTCTCTAACTAATAAGCTATAGTTATATTACTATCTTATCTAAATTTTAAGAAAAATAATAAAGTAATTATATTACTTATATAGTAATTTTTTTAAAATAAGCTACTTACTAAAGTATTAGTAGCTAAGCTAAAAAGACTTAGTATACTCTTGCGTACACTTTAGATAGAGTACGTATTAAACTTTAATTATAACTTATTCTAAGATACTTAGTAGAGGGCTGTTACTTATTTAAGACTTAATTTTTTTTTAAATCTAAGATACCCTAATAACGCTGTTAGTACTAAAACACATAGCGCTTAGTATGATAGTTAGACACGGTTCGCAATTTTGCATCTGTACGTCTGCCGTCGCTCATGCAGCCACAGTATGCAATCCGGCCGATGACGTATGGGCGGGAGTCTCACAACGCACATGATCAAGAAGCTAGTCGCGCGTACTATGGCTGCAAGAGAAACACGTAGCAAAGTTATTGAATCCTTTATAATGTTTACATCAAGTACTCCTTTCCCACATAAGATATCCGTATCCAGTATCATGAACGCCCTACTGCCAGTCCAAGCAATCCTGTGCGCCGCTTAACACGTATTGTACTGCTCTACATGTCCCTTCTCTTGAGACATTTGCGCCCAAGACTGTCCATTTATGGGCCCTGAACCTTGTTGTCGCCCTTGATCACATCTGCGTAGGTCGGTGGTGGCCCTTCAGGCTGACTCGAGCTACCTTCGCCGGCTTGCGGTGCAGAAGCATTCGGGGCTGAAGCGCCCTTCGCGGCCTTGCTTCCCTTTGGCTGCGCAAAGCTGTTTGTCACGCCACTCTGCTGTCCGGGGAACTGGCCGTTGCTTGGCTGGCTGCCCACGGTGCCGTAATTCGCTTGTCCTCCAGCCGGCTGCTCGTGGGTGATGACATAGTATGTGGTTCCGCCGTTGCTGTTTGCACCGCGTTCGCGATCGGGCACTTGCTGGTATGCGTCGTACGGATCTGGGTTTTGGAGGATCACGTACCAGGCGTGTAGGAGGCCTGGCAGGAAACCGAGACAGCAGAGCGCGAGGTTGATAAGAGAGTCGGCACTGCAGAGGCCTTTCTTTACCCATACCCCCACAGGTGGGAACTAGTTGACGTGTCAGTACTTGGAGACGGTGGGTCGCAGAGAGATGGCTGGTGCCTGCTGCAGCTTTGGGGGCGTGGACGTACCAGGACGCTTAGGAGCATCAAGAAGCAGTCAGAGCCGCACATGATGACAGTGATTCGCGATGTAGAGTTCTGGGTCGGGTAGCGCAGCTGTAGGTACAAGGTCGTAGTCGTTGTTCTGGCGTTGGGGTGTCGCCTGAGTGAGAGGTACCTGGAGTCGCGTGATCAGATGACGCACATTGTGGCTGTGCGTGGCTGTGCACCCGCCGAGACACCTGGAATACGATATACGAGAACCACCGCTGCAACAATAGCGCTAGTCAAGATGGAGCGCCGCTTCTGCAATTCGATGTCTTTCCAGGCCAATCTTTCGTTTCTAGATTGTTCTTACCGAGTGGCAAGCTCTTGAAACCAATTGCCTGCCTCGCACAGATTCACATGTCACTTATCAGATATACAAGACTACTGATCATTGCACATAATCCATTTTGATTTTCTAGTGCAGTATGTACGTGTTCATGTCCCATTTAGAACAAACGCTTTGTGTGGTACGCAGGCTGAATCACATAAAGAACAGCTGTCCTCGCCAGCACCTGATATTAGCACCTGATATGAGCACATGTGGCTCAGCCTGTAGATTCTGCTACGCATCATGGATCAAAGATCTTCAAGGTCACAGCCCTTGCTGAAAGGTAGAGAATAGCTTGCAGCTGATTACCTGAGTGCCAGCGTAGTATGCATATCCTGTGGCTGACGCTATTTTACTTGAAGTAGCTAGGCACGCACACCACAAATACCAATATACTTACTGCATATACGATTGTGTGATCTTGCTGGACTACAGGGATAAAACATGGATCGCAATCTCCGAGCCAAGTAAGGGACTAAACACTAAGGAAATGTAATCTGAAGAACAAGGATCAAACATGGTGGTAGGTGAACAGATAGAAGGATGACATCGACAGAATTTGACGCGACAACTGGGAAGATCGAATGAGATTAATGTAAATAGTGGTGAAGATGACAAGATAATAGAACGTCTGGAACAGACAGTGAAGAGAAAAGGACTTAACGTGCCCTGTGAAATGAACATCAAGCGCTGAATGACGCCATACCCATAAGCCACCCTTTCTGAACAAACTCATCAAAGCGTTCTTTAGACAGAAAACGGGATCACAGTCGTCAACCCCTGTAGACGTGAGGGTGTAGTAGCAAAGCAGTGAATGAAAATGTAGGGCATCACCCAGCATGATAACATGCTGGAGAAAATGAATGATCCAGTATCTTAGACAGACCATTGTTCAAGGTCAAGAGGCTGGCGGGAGGTGTTCTTGACGAATGACACGGCAGCCACAAGAATTGACGGCTCTGACAAAAATTCCGAGCAAGCATTGCAGTGGGTGTGCCGAAATACTGACGGGACGTTCAACGTCGGCTGTGACTAGTAAGATACTGCACGAGAATTGGAGAGCGTTGAATGGAATTGGCAGGACTTACCTGTACGCAGCATCAACTTGAGAGCGCCGCTTTCGTTTGCTGTAGTCTTCTTGCTGCCGCAAGCGCTCATGCTCGTGGTCCGCATCCTCATAGCTCCTCTTCCGAGAGAAAGAGCTATCGCCTCGGTCGAGTGAGGTTGCACTTGGCACATCCTGTCGTATCTCGCTGCTGGGGTTTTCGGGCTCGAAATCAGAGCCAGCCATGGTGTGGTTGCTTCCTTCAGAGAGCGCCGGACTGCCCCTGGAGCCATCGAGACCATGGCCACTACGCTGAGGCGCATTCCAAGGATCGTAGCGTTGTTGTTCTGGGGGTGGAGGTGGGGGTGGGGGCCTAGAGGTGGTGGAAGACGACATGGAGCCGTACGGCCGAGGCAGCGGAGGTCCATGTGTATTGTTGCGATGGCCTCCATACGATTGCGCTCGTTGAGGTGGAAGAGCAGGCTCTGCAGTCTTTGTGAAGGCAGAAGGTAATGATGGCTTGCCAGGAAGTGCCGATGGGATCTTCGCATCGCAGGCAGATAATGGTAGTGAAATCTGCTCATCTGATGGTGGCTTCGGAGTCCCGGTCACGCCCAGTTTAGCCAGGATGTCTTCTTGGCTTAGCTGTTGAGGAGGTGCTGTCTCAGACTCCGTAGTGGCAGGTTTGGTGGAACCACTGTTTGTAGCGAGTGCTTGCTCAAGGTTATCCATAATGTCCCACGTAGCATCGCGCATCTCCAGATCCTCATCCTGCTGTACCTCCTCGTACAGTTCGTCCGGTCGATCTCGTTGAGCAATACAATCCTCTAGCGAGACGAGATTGGATTTCATGTCTTCGTCTGTGAATACGACGAAGACTGGATCATCCTGAAGTGTCTCCCATTCGTCTGTCTGCCTAATATTCAAGAAAGCCTCATGCGAGTTGTCGGCTGTAAAGTACATCGACACTGAATCTCCGTTGTCCAGTTTCTCCGGCGTGGGTTTCAGTGCGTCTTCTTCGGCCTCGGCGAAGGTTGATGGTAATGCACGTGTTACCTGCTTTGCGGGATGCCAGATGATAACTCCGAGACTTAGGGCCGGATCGACAGGTTCATTGCTTTTGGGCCATATAGCACCATCAAAATCGAAATCCCAGTCGTCCCAGGCAAGGAACAGTTGCGGCTTCTCGCCTGAACTCCCCTCACTCAAAGCACTAGTGGACTGATTAGACGGTGGAAGGGTACGAGATGTAGTGAGATGAACAGTCGCCTGAGTTGGTGTAGCGTGAGGATCCGGCGTGGAATGACTATCGTTGGGTAATCCGTTGATTGAGCTGTATTGGTTTGACTGATAGGATGCTTGCCCCTGCTGCTGTGACCACGCTGGATTCTGTCCATAAGCCTGTTGATTGGTGTTAGTGGCCGCATGCTGAGGCTGATATCCTTGATAGTGGCTCTGTGATGGGGCATAGGGCTGCGCAGGAGGTTGATTCGGAGGTTGCGAGTAACCTGTATTTGGTTGATAACCTGGTTGTGGCCATTGATAATTAGCTTGCGCCGGCGGATATGCGGCCTGTGGATAATTCGGAGCTTGGGGCGGCGGCTGATTATAACCCTGAGCGGAATAGCCATGGTGCGCAGGGGGAGCAGCATAACCTTGCTGTGGGTAATTTGGAGGTACTGGGGGTGGTTGTGAGAATGTAGGCTGCGGCGGTTGGAACTGATTGGAAAACTGAGTGGTTCCAAAAGGACCCTGGGGTTGCGCCGGCCCACGATAGCCTGGGGGAGGGGGATACCGAGTAATTATCGGATTTCCCTTCTTCTTTGGAGGTCTACACATATGTCAGAAAACGGCCTTTGGGGATTCTAAACTTGAGGTTCATGTTGTTGTTCTTTTCAAAATATCTGGCCGAACTGCAAGTACGTGGTGAGATAAAGGAAACCTACTGAACATGAGGAGCACGGTGAGGTGGACCGGCCGGCGGATAGGCAGCTCCTGACTGATATTGTCCGTATCCTGGTTGTTGTCCTGGCTGCTGTCCATATTGATAGGGCGGCTGTTGGCCGTATGGCTGGCCATTGCCATACGGTTGCTGCTGGAAAGGCGCCGAACCTGCTACGGGCCCGCTCCACGACATGCCCACTCTGGAAATTACCTGTTGCGATGCACGTCAGGAGTAAGATGCTCGGGACTGTATAGAAAGAAATGGAGTCGATGAATTTCTTGGAAGTGGTGATGTAGGTCGGACTGGATGTAGGCAAGTGTTCTTGAGTTGAGAGGTGCGCGTCTCAAAATTTGGTCTGGTCGAGCGCACGAGCCAGGACGACGAAAGAGAAGCCCAAGCTCATGGAGGGACTTTGAACTTAGGGTGCTCTGATAACGCGTGAAGGCTGAATGATTTGGGGCGGAACTATGACGTTGGGAAAGACGGAATTGAGTTGACGGAAAGAGCCCTGAAGTGAAACAAGCCAGGCTGATGTGAGGAAAACCCTTGGAAGTTGCTATTGAGAGCACAGCAGGATGCAGATGGCGGGTTGCGAGGGATGCAGGAGGTTGGCCTCAGGACATCAGAACCTAGTGACGCGACAGGAGGGAAGACTTGAGAGGTGATAACGCCGAGTGCACACCCATCCCATTGAAGCATGCCAACGGTTGTCGCGTAGAAATGAAATCTGGAGCGTGGTCACGTTTTGCGCTTGGGCCAGGGCCAGCGCGGGATGCCGCCGCATTTCAGGCCGACAGGCACATATTGCCCCCCATTGCCATGTCGCTGCCTTTCGCGCCATCGCCCAGATACCGCCCCTCGATGCGCCCCCGAGGATGATTGTTCGATACAGACACCTGCTAGCGACCAGTATAGACTCGATACCCTGAGCTGCGCCGCGAATGCCCCAATACCAACACCCACCCCACGAACACCACCATGCCCGGCCTACCGTGTACGTCAGTCGCCGACGCCTGCGCATTCCCTGGGTGGCTGTGCTGACATTGTGGCAGCTACCGTAGACCTCGATGAATGCATATCGCGCCTGTCGAAGAAGGAGCTGCTCGCCGAGTCGGTGGTCGAGGCGATATGCGCCAAAACCAAGGAGCTGCTTATGAAAGAGAGCAATGTGGTGCACATCAGAGCGCCCGTTACTGTCGTGGGTGACATCCACGGCCAGTTCTTCGATATGATGGAGATATTCAAGATTGGCGGGCCGTGTCCCGACACCAACTACCTCTTCCTCGGTGCGTCTCCGTCCATTGGCCGTACGCTGCACGCGACCTCGTTTCATGACGCTAATATATCCTAGGTGACTACGTCGATCGCGGTCTCTTCTCTGTCGAAACAATATCGCTCCTCGTATGCTTGAAGCTTCGCTATCCACACCGAGTCCACCTTATACGTGGAAACCACGAATCGCGCGGAGTCACTCAGTCCTATGGCTTCTACACCGAATGCTCGCGGAAGTACGGGAACGCAAACGTATGGCACTATTTTACCGACATGTTCGACTTCCTCACCCTATCCGTCGTCATCAACGACCAGATATTCTGCGTACACGGTGGCCTTTCGCCGTCAATACATTCCATCGACCAAATCAAAATCATCGACCGTTTCCGAGAGATACCTCACGAGGGGCCCATGGCGGACCTAGTCTGGAGCGACCCAGATCCCGAACGAGACGAATTCTCCCTCAGCCCAAGAGGTGCAGGTTATACATTTGGAGCACAAGTTGTCAAGAAGTTTCTGGAAGTCAACTCCATGTCACATATTCTACGCGCACATCAGTTATGTCAAGAGGGCTATCAGGTTCTGTACGATGACAGACTGAGCACAGTTTGGAGTGCACCGAACTACTGCTATCGGTGCGGTAACATGGCGAGTGTACTGGAGGTCAGCGATACCGGTGAACGCTTTTTCAATGTTTTCGATGCGAGCCCCGACAACGATGTCCACCGAGCAGAGCAGCAGCAACAGCAAGGCAAGGAGGTCACGACAGAGTACTTCCTATGATACCCAACATATACAGCGGTGCATCATTGGCTCGGTGCGAACCTGGCATTTATCGGCGTTGGCACGAGGCACGGCGTTCGGGCAAGACCATGTTGGTTATATACAATCATGTGTGAAATGCGATCATATACTGAAGATGGTACGCAATCTCAACAAACTCGTCGTTACCTGCGTTATACGTGATTTGCGCACCCGTTTCAGCATCCCAAGTACTTAGTTTCGATCCAACGCGCCTCTTCGTCATGACCCAGCCTTGCAACCACAATCTTGATGTCTGGGAACACGCTCAACACCCTGTTAAGACCTACGCGCCCTGCCGTATATGTCACAAAGACGACTCTGTTCTCCGGTACGCCATGGTCAACCAGTACCCTGACCGCCATCAATGCCGCTGCACCTGTGGAGAATTGCGGATCTAGAACTAAGACCAGTCCATGCTCTGCGATGTTCTCGGGAAGAGCCCGGTAATGCAACTCCGGTTCTCCAGTACTGTAGTTCGTCTGAATCAATACTCTCCCGGTCCTGCAGTCTGGAATGGTTCTTCGAAGGCCCGTTTCGAATGCACTTCCACCACGTAAGACTACTACTGCGCTGATTTCCGCGGCCTTCTTGAGTCCCTGGTACGTGTATTCCTGGGGCGTAGTGATCTTGTGTGACTCAAAAGGCAAGAAATCCGCAGCTTTCTCGACCAAAAGCGCGACCATGCGATCGAAGTAGAAGATGAAGTCTTCTCTCGACGTGGTCGGGTTGAGTAACAGGGTGTGCATTCCCTTGATTTGGTTCGTTTGTTGCAGTACGATAGCATTATTGCTCAATGGGCTATCTTCCGCGATCTTGCCCAGTCGTTTCAGCTCCGTCTGATGCTGTATGCTCTTGCTTTCTAGCGTCTGTCGGACCTGATTGCTCACCATGGTGATTGCGACCTTGTTCTCAATACCTCTCGGAATGATGAGATCACCAATCTCCCTTTGCGGCGCAACATATTTGTAGAAGTTTGGCTTTACGAAAGCGAACCATTGTTTGATGCATCCTTCGATGTCGCGTCCGCGTTCTTTCACATCCCGTACGAGACGTCTCGAGAGACACAGGTCAGCGTCGGCTTCCGCAAATATCTTGAGATCCAGGAGGTCGAGCACGCGTTGGTCGTGCAAAGCAAATATGCCTTCTAGAATTATGACGTGCGGCGAGTAGATCGTGGTCGTTTTGGAAAGGCGGGCGTGCTTTTGGAAAGAGTATATAGGCACTTCAGCCACCTTGCCACTCTTGATGTCCTTCAAGCGCTCGACCAGGATGTCGAAATCTATAGCGTCGGGCGAATCAAAGTCGAATTCGTTCCGGAAAGCCGCTGCAGATTGCTCTGGCGTTAGAGGCTTGTAGAACGAATCCTACATGCAGTGGTCCTTAGCTGATTGGAGCACGTGACCCACTGTGCGAGGCTGGTACGCACCATAGACAGGATGACAACCCATGGCAAGTTCAAGGATGCCACTATCGCCAGTGCCAGAGAAGTTTTTCCAGATCCAGAACTACCAGCTACACCAATAATGCTCGCGTTGCCCCACGGCGGTTCGTAGTGCGTTTTGCGGCCTGCCGAGGCCATATTTGTGATTTCTTCGGATTTTCAAAAGAGACCGTGTTTCTGCTATCTCATGCTCTACCAAACCGCACCTCTTATAGCAAGACTGAATAATGTCGAGGGTGTATGCAGGGTTCCAGCACGATCGGGTTTCTGCAGCGGGCGGCTCTTTACTTAGGCTCGTGCTTACATAAGAACGACCCACCCCACTAGCGTTGCCAAGCTCGCAAGCTCAGTCTTTCTCTTCCACGAACCTTCACTCACAAACTTTCTCTCATCACGCACCAAGCTTTGCGTGACTGCCAGCACACTCGACCAACGGTCGGGCAGCTCTATCCTTCACTGATGGACGTCGGCTGAGGCTTGCTGAGCGCCTCGCTTCACCATGGTAAGCTCCAACGCATCTGCTGTCGCAAAACTCACCATCCTCTAACAATCATGCAGAGCTCATCTACCGTTTCGGTGTCGGCGGCAACGCCAACACAGCATCCTTTCCAGAGGAAGATTGATGACATCAAGCCGTCCAAGACGTAAGTTGCTACCTGTCCGCGCCGCCTCAGCTACTGCCCCACATGATGATTTCAAAATAAGTTGGGAATCTCTCCGAAACAACGTGTGGAGAACATGTTAACTTGTATCTCTGATCTCGCAGTAGCTGCTGCATTGCGCGCTACACTGTCTGGCATCGGATCAACAAGCTAACGTATGCGCTTCAGGGACATCAACTTTGTCATCATGGACTACCTGGTCAGCGAAGGCTACCCGAGGGCTGCTGAGAAGTTCGCCAAGGAAGCCAACATCCAGCTACCTCTTGAAGAGGAGTCCATACAATCCCGCGTAGAAATACGACGGTCTATCCATGCTGGCGACATTGACACCGCCATTACTAAGATCAATGATCTAAACCCTCAGGTACGCATCCTCTTCCCGCTTCGTCCACCCTTTGCAGGATTATATCCAGTTTCATGCACCACGCAGAATCTCTTTGATGATAATCAAACCTTCAGTCCTTAATATGATTGCAAACAAACCCATTCACTCATGTCGCATACCTTTTATTGGGCTTTGCTAACTTCGAGTCAGATTCTAGACACAGATCCATCGCTACACTTCGCGCTGTTGCGTCTGCAGCTCATCGAGCTCATCCGCGCATGCACATCCTCTACCGCATCCGACATCACACCCGCTCTTAGCTTCGCGTCGTCTCAGCTAGCTCCTCGCGCAGCTACGAACACCGACTTCCTGAAGGATCTTGAGCTTACTATGTCGTTGCTCATTTTCCTTCCTGCCGCCCCTGGAACACTCCAGAAGGAGCTCAATGAACTGCTTGAACCTTCGCTCCGTCGGCATGTCGCGAGCAAGGTCAACGAGGCGATACTCACGAGCATGGGGGCACATGGAGAGTCACGCATGAGGAGCTTGGTGCGCCTACGCCAGTGGGCGGAGACCAAGGCACGAGCTGCTCAA